AATGCGCATTTTTGGGCCATTTAGTGACCACAGAAGGAGTAAAACCAAATCCTGACAAAATAAAGGCGATCCAAAACTTTCCTATACCCACAAATCAAAAAGAAATAAAATCGTTTTTAGGTCTACTAGGTTATTACCGTAAATTTATTAAAGACTTTGCCAAAATAACAAAGCCATTTACAGCTTGTCTGAAGAAAAATAAAACTGTTATAGTCGACGACAACTATAAAAAAACGTTTGAAATTTGTAAACAACTCTTGGTAAATGACCCTATCTTACAATATCCAGATTTTTCTAAGCCTTTCAATCTTACGACAGACGCAAGTAATGTTGCGCTAGGAGCCATTCTTTCGCAAGGACCTATAGGGAACGACAAACCGATTTGTTACGCAAGTCGCACACTCACGACATCGGAAATCAATTACTCAACAATAGAAAAAGAGCTCTTAGCCATAGTTTGGGCTACAAAATATTTTCGACCATACCTATTTGGTCACCAGTTCAGAATCATAACAGATCATAAACCACTCACATGGATTATGAGCCTGAAGGAGCCAAACTCTAAATTAATAAGATGGCGATTGAAACTAGAAGAATTCGATTATGAAATTATATACAAAAAAGGCAAACTAAACACAAACGCCGATGCCCTTAGTCGCATAAAGACTGACACATCAGTCAATCTAAACATAAATGCATTTGATACAACGTCAAATCAAGCCACTTCTGGTAGTACTATTCACTCTGCAGAGGAAAACTGCGATGATGGTATTCCGATTTCGGAAAAACCAATAAATGATTTTAATTTACAAACATTATTTAAGACAGGAAACTCTAATTCTCACATGAAACAAGAAGTAGTTTTTAAAAACAAATATAGAAAAACATTTACATACCCCAATTATACAGAGGAAATTATAACACAAATTTTTAAAAATCATCTAGCGCCCAATAAAACCACGGCAATTTTTACAGATAATGAAACTTTTCGCATTATTCAAAATGTATATTCCAAACATTTTGCACAAAGCAAAATTTTTCGTTTAGTTAGGTGTACTGAAATAGTAAAGGACATAAAAGAAAACGATAATCAGGATAAAATCATTCAAGACTATCACGAAAACAATAATCACAGAGGCATACAAGAAACCTATGACCACCTAAAACGCGAATATTACTTTCCATACATGAAATCAAAGATAGCTCAAACAATAAATAATTGTACTTCATGCCAAAGACTAAAATATGATAGACATCCTCCGAAGAATAAGTTTGAAAAACCTCCCACACCTGTAAAACCATTAGATATAATACATATAGACATTTACACGATTAACAGCAAAAATATTTTAACCATTATAGACAAATTTTCCAAATTCGCCGCAGCATATACTCTAACAGCGAGAAACAGCCTTTGCGTTATTAAATCTTTAAAACATTTTCTTAGCCTGCATGGCATACCTAACAAAATAGTTTGTGACCAAGGAACCGAATTCACATCAAACATATTTAAAGACTTTTGTCAGCAATACCAAATTGACCTACACTTTACATCTTTTCAACAATCTTCTAGCAATTCCCCCGTAGAAAGACTCCATTCAACATTAACTGAAACTTACAGATTAATAGCCGAGAAAATTAAAGAAAAAAAGTTAGAAATGGATCATGACGACATCCTAACAGAAGTTCTTATAACCTATAATAACGCAATACATTCTTCTACTAAAATTACACCTTTCGAACTTTTCTATGGAAGAACCTATAAAATTAACCGTCAAATTACATTTAACAATGAACACGAATATCTTTCCAAAATTAATCAATTTCGAACACAACTCTACGAATCTATTAAGGAAAAATTGGAAACCGACACGGACAAACGCATAGAAAAACTTAATGCAGACAGACAAGATCCACTAGATTATGATGTAGATAACTATATATACAGGAAGGAATGTAGGAGAAACAAACTAACACCGAGATTTTCTAGGCACAAAGTGAAACAAAACAACAAAGCAACATTACTTACTACAAAAAACACGAAACTTCACAAATCAAAAATAAGAAAAAAACAATTTTCATAATCTTTTATTTCAGATTAATACCCATGATACACACACAAACACTGGAGATACACAATTTAAAAGACACCCAGGGATTATTACAAATAAAACTGGGAACTGCTAAAACAATAATTGACTATATCAACCTTATACATATAATAAAATTAGATTCTTATAAGGATAATGTCATGAAAATTGAGGAATCTGTCAAACAATTTACTCCCACATATTACAACAGAGATTCCTTAAAGGTAACAAAATTTAAACTTAAAGACCTTAAGGATAAATTGAATTCAATAACTCCTAAATACCGCAGGAAAAGAGGATTATTTAATGGTATAGGTTCAGCAGTTAAATTTATCACAGGTAATATGGACGATAATGATGCTCTCCGTATTAACCAGGCTATATTTAATCTAACAAATAAATTACAAACTGAAACTAGTAAACAGAATATACTTAGTACTAGAATCATTGAAAGAATAGAAAATATCACAGACCACATAAATAAAGAACAAGATATAATAGTAGAGTCAATAAAGAATTCTCAAAATAGCATAAACTCCAACTCAAGACTTATAAATGATATGCAGTATTTAAATCAGATTAATTTCCACATTGATTTACTGACAAATCATATTAAAGATGTTTCTGAAGCGATGACATTGTCTAGCCTCGGAATTATACCCAAGATGATATTAAATACGCAAGAGTTAGAAGAAATAGGGAACAATTTAGAGAATCAGTCAATTAAAATTGATACAACAGAACATTTATATGAACTCTTACAATTACAGGCATTTTACAATGATACCAATATCGTTTTTAACATTCAAATTCCCCACATCCCATTAACCAATTACACAATTTCCCATACAATTCCTATACCAATTAATAAAACAAAAGAAATAGTTATAAAACCTTACACAATTTATAATAATAATAAAATTCAATATTTCAAAAATTTATGTAAGAAAATCGAAAACATATATTATTGTAAAGAAAGTTCACTACAAGAAACTATGGAAAATTCTTCATGCTTTGGAAAAATCATAAGTAATTTAGAAGCTAATTGTAATCTCAATAATATAGGCCAAATTACAGAAATATCACAACCTGAACAAGGACTTGTGTTAATAAAAAATTTACCGACCACAGAAATGAAAACATCATGTAACTCCGAAAAACATAATATTGAAGGCAACTTATTAATAAATTTTAAAAACTGTAATGTTATTATTAACGGAATTATCTACGAAGATAACCCAAACATATATTGGGACGATTTTATTGTAAAACTACCCACAGAAATAAACATAAAACCTTTGTCTACAATAGAAACTTTAAATATACCTAAACTCAAAGAGTACCATCTAGAAAATAAGTTAGCCATCGAAGAGTTATCAAACAATACAGAACTTCACAGACACATAAATTATGGAACTTTAATGTTAATAATTGGAATTGTAATTTTCACCTATATAATGAAACAGAAGACAAAATTAGTGGTAAATGAACTTCCCGCCAATACTGTTGTCGCTTCTGACCATCAATTCTTTTGGCCATCGCTCCATACTAAGGGGGGAGGAGTTACAGAAACAACATCAACAACAACAACATTAACACAAGCACCTACAAAGCCACCAAGGTTAAATCAAGCAAATAAATAATAAAAATTATTAAGAATTGCTAATAAGTCAATAACCGTATGAATTGCTACATATAAAATTAGTAAGAATTTTAAATAGTTCAACAGACCGAAAAAGAACTGTAAAATAAAGAATTGTTCAATAAAAGAATTGTTAAATAAGCATATATTTAAATTTCAAAGAATTGTAAACAGGCCACCAGCTATAGAATTACTAGTAATTTTATAAATTGTCAAAATGCAGTTATTGCAATTTTCACTTTAAATAAGTTTATAATCGTAACTTTCATTTTTAATTATTGTTTTCAATAAAGAGGAGTAATTTTTGAGCAACCAACGAATAAACTTGTGTTTTTTTTTTATACTCGGATTACTACAAGAATTAACTCGTGCGATAGTGCTTGTTTGTAAAGAAAAAAATAGTGGTGGCGTCAACTTAATAATCGATTTAATCGATTAATAAATATCGATTAAATTAATAGTAAATAACACTCTAAAGATCATTTTATAACGTGAAAAACATACATAATAAAGCATTTTTCTGTTATATTATTTAATGCCGACGTTAGAAACAGAAAAAAAGAGATTTGCCCGTAGTCGGCAGTGTGTGCCGATTACTATAAAAATATAATTTTTTACCTATTTCACCAAAACTTGAGAAAAGTATTAAAAAATAATCCAAAAACTACTCAAATAAAAAATAGTTTTGAGTTGGCAGTTGCTTTTATTTGTGCTTTTTGACCAACTTTTCTAAATTAAATAGGTTTTTTTAAATCAGCTATTTGACGTTTTAGATAGCGGTGACATTTAAAAAAATATATTGGTTATCTAAAGGAAAAAGATCAATTCACAAATTCCAAATATAAGAAAGGTACTTTTTTATTTTTGTATTAAATCTCATTTTTATTTTAACTGAAAATCCATACGTTACTGAAGGTAATGATAATTAAATAAAACACTATTTAAAAACGAAATTAATTTCAAATTCTGGATTAAACTGTGAATTAGTAATATAGCATTGTTTTATACTATTTGAAATAAAAAAATATACAAAATATTTTTTTTTTACGGAAATACCATATGCCGACTACTGGCAAATAGACATGCCGAGCATTGGAAAATGGTGCCGACTACTGGCAAAAAACTACTATTTTAGTAAAATTGCAAATTTTGCCAATTTAATAAAAACAAATTAAATTTTTGTTTATTATTTCGAAAACTAAACAAAATTTGGAATCTGAACAACTTTTTTTCTTAGCAATTGAAAGATTTTACTCAGAATGTTGAAAGATTGAAAAATCGAAAATTCTAAAAGTGCCGACTACTGGTACAATTACCATATTGACGATTTAAAGCTGCCCTCAGACACACCAACAGTTGGCCCAACTTGTCACTTTTAAGTTGTATGAAAAAGTTGGTCGGTCTCCTCGCACGTACCAACTTTTCATACAACTGTGTACCAACTTTTTATTTACAAAGTATTTTTGAAGCGTCAACATGAACTCGGATGCTCTTGCGCTACTTGGAATTGATATAGTTTTAGAGGAAGAAGAAGAAAGACAACAGCTTATGTATGTGCTGCTTCACCAAAGTCAAGACATAAATGAAGAAAACACTGAAGTTGGTACAACTTTCCCGCGCACGCACCAACAGTTGGACCAACTTACGAAATTATCAAAAATTTTTGATATTTCCAACCAACTTCAACCAACTTTCGAAAAAGTTGTACAACTAGCCATCAGACGCACCAATAGTTGTACCAACTTGTCACAAGTTGGGCCAACTGTTGGTGTGTCTGAGGGCAGCTTAAATCACATTTTCTAACGGACAAGTTAGAGTATCATGCCTATTAACAGTTGGCCACCAACCAGTGGTTCATTCATTCATTTCACTCCGTATGTGATTAGGTTCTTTGGATACTTATTTAGATCATATGTAGATTGTCGTGTGCTACTTAGCTTTTTCATTGGTGTCCCTTATATTTGGTATGGCATTTATTTTTTGATCATCCATCAGGTAAAATCCTATGGTTCACCATCTTATTGACTCTTTTCAGGTTCATCTTACGTGTTTGTACAAGCACATTCGTTTTCTATTTTTTTTTTCAAATTATCCAAGGGAAATTGTTGAATGAATCCTCATAAATATATTTTTGGAATGATGGAACATAAGACTATTTCTGATATAATTTAAATATACTTTTTATTGATGGACAATATTTAAGTCATTTCTTATGCATACTATATTCGCTGTAATCGGCCTGAGGGGCTTGTGTACGTTTTTGCAGATCGTAACGGGCTCTAACTTCGGTGGCAGAACATTTGTATTTATATGTCCATGCATTCTTATAACACCCATGTAAGTATACCTTTAGATATTATGTATTTTGACAACATGGGTCATATTATCTATCGGATTTGTTTCAAATTCTGTATATATAGTTTGTTTGTAATCGAATATGCCAATGGTGTCAGAACATTGTTCATATGGGTCCATATAACAATGCTGGGCTTAACTCTAGTTTAGTAAAAGCTCTTCAATTTGTTAGAAAATTTTTCCAGTGGTAGGTATTTTTACCCTGATCCCGGGAAACTATTTTTTCTTGGGGGACGGACCCGGGACCCCAGATTTTTTGACCCCAAAGTCCGGGTTCAAGACCCCGAAATCGAAATCAAGACCCAGAAAATCGATATATATATTGGCTATAACTTCCGAACCTTGACCACTTACATATGACCACTTGTTGGACAGGTATTTTCATAAGCTTTCCAACGCTACCTATATTGTCTATATCGGGTAATTGGATCCGGGACTAGTAGGGGTCTTTTTATGGTCAAAAATCGGGTCCCGCGTCCGTCCCCCAAGAAAAAAAATACCTACCTCTGGGAAAATTTTCGAAAAAATCGAAGAGTTTTTACTAAACAAGAGTTGTTCACAATGCTGCTCGGTATGCCGTATTTTGTCGATTCCGGCGAATTTTTTTAAATTTTAAATTGCTTTAAATTTGGCATTTAAGGCTAGCAATATAGTATAACAACCCTTTTAGTGGAACATTGTCATTACACGGTTCTATCCACTTAATTGTATTATGAAAACTTGAGCTGCATATTGCTATTGCATATTGATAGAGCTGATATTTGCCCTTTTATTTATAGTTTTAAGTTTTCTTTACCTCATGATGGAGGAAATTATTGCTCAAATTAAATCAACCCAACCCTGTTTCACTACATCAACCTGTTTCACTACATCACCCTGTTTCACTAAAACACCCTGTTTTGCCGTATCAACCTGTTTAAATCCCCGTTACGCCGTTTCCATCGCAAATAAATTTTATAACTTTTTTCTGTACGTCATATTGTAAAAACTATAGTACTAAAATGGCCTGTTGAAACAAAAATTGCAAAATAAAATCAGACGAAAGAACGATAACATGCTGGTTATGTTACGAAAATTGTGTGTCGGGTTACAGAAAAATTTGAGGGAGCTTTTACCGATTTTTCCAATCTCAAAAACAAACTTTTCTGTAGATTCTAGAAGATTTGGCTAAACTGTCTAATCGAATAAATGGTTACGGTAAATTATTTGAAAATTATAAGCTGTTGGTATTGGAATATAGAGTTACAAAAGGTAACACTTTTTTTAATTGATTTAAAGATTTTTTATTTACTTTTAATTTACACTACGACGCCACATGCACACTATAAGAAGAAACAAAACAAAAGAGGGAAGAAGTAGACAAAAAAATTTTATCGAGTTGCATTACGTTTTGTTTTGTCTTAGAATACCAAATACTTAAGGAGTGTAGTAAAGTGATATTTTTGTAGTATTCAACAATTAGAGTATATGAATTCACCACAATCATCCCCGAAGCGTCGAAAGTCGGCTAGGAATGTAAACAAAGAAAAACACCCCTTCCGCGCCAATTCTTGATTCAACTTCCAATAATTCATCACCTATACCTAATCTTCCTTCATTCAATATCTTTACGTCAAATAATCTAATACAGTACTTCGGTTTGAACGTCTAACAAACCAAGATCCTGAAACAGTCGTCAATCCTTCTTTTCCATATAACGTAACCCCTGTTGAGCATTTTCATTTCAAGACTTCCTGCCCATACCACTACTAAGACAATTGACCGTTACATCATATCTAAAATTGGAATATTTAATGATATTTTCATACACAAATTAATTTTTTCGCAATAACGTTCAATTGCATCATGTTTGTATACTTGTCTTATTGATCCTGAGTTCTGGCCGAAACATACTATTGTTCGTGAATACATATATAGAGAAAGACAAATGCCTGATAATAATGATTACATTCAACAAAACTCCGTTAACTTTTCAAAAAACTAAGAACTTTTAGTAATGATACAATATCTATTGCCTATCAAATTGTACGTGGTATTCGATCTAAAATATCGAAATTGTTTGTGGACAATTTTACTTTGAACATCATATCTTAGTAATGACTGAGACCTGGTTAGATGAACGTATTTTAAACTCTAAAATCCTGTCAAATAAATACAATATCTTTAGACGTGACCGTGGCAGCAACGGCGGTGGAGTGATCATAGCTGTCTCCAATACCTTCTCATGCCAATTGCAGGATCTGGATTTTTCTCTAAATATTGAGTTACTTGCCGTTTTGAAAAAAATGTTCATAACATGCTCATATATTGCTCCATCATCACCGCAAATAATTTATGAAAAGCATAGCCATGCATTAAAAGCAGTTTTGCAAAAAACTAAGCCAGAGGATCTAATTTGTATATATATATGTATGCGATTTTGATATACCAAACATGTTGTGGAATTTTTTACCTGGGGTAAATACCTGTTGCCTGAACATATGCACCAATTAACATACACTTTTTGATCTTGGTATTTTTCAAACAAATAGTATCCGTAACACCTACAATAAGTTATTGGACGTCATATTTGTAAATCAAGTGGATAAATGTTACATTAAACGAATTGATCCTTTAACATTCCCCGAAGACCAGCACCATCCAACTATTAAAATTAATGTTTCGTTTCCTACTGGAAACCAAATCATACTCGTGACTCAAACTGAGAAATGATTGTTTTTCGTCGTGCTGACGTATAATTTTCCACACCCTTCCTCATTATTACCACCACATTCAATTTGGTAAATCACGTTATGTTTTTCCATTTTTGGTGTTTTAGTTTTCAATTTCATTTCAAGAAACTGTTTTAAAATAAACGGTTACAGTATATCTGACACTAGACACCCGCCGCGATGATAAAGCCATGTCGGTAACATTTGTCCTCCAAGACATAATAAAAACAAAGATAAAAGCACACATTTCTTCTCACTTCTTGAGAGAAAATTAATTGCAGCTGGCGATTGTAACCCTAACAACACTTTCAGTAGATCTAGACTCTCTACACCCAAAGGTAGAAAACTTGTAAACTAAATTTCGTCCACTACACTGGATGTTATACCCACCGGTCAGCCTTCTTGCTGGTCTTTAGACTTGCAAACACGTCCTAACTAAATTGACTTTGCGGTAATAAGGAATATTAAAAGAGAACAAATCTGCCATATAAACATACAAACTGGATGAAGTGCAAGAAAATATGTCAGAATACGTGTAAGTCTTAACAATTCCCTAAAGTGCGAAGAAGAAATAGATAATACATTTAAAATGTACGTTTCGGTAGTCAACACCACTGTCAAAGTTGCCAAAAAACTACTAAAACATGTGTGCGAGGTTTATGTATATTAATTTGAAACAAAGGCACATTTATATAAAAAATTAACAAAACTTATATTTGGTTTTAAAAGAAATACAAGGACTGAAACAATTATAATTTAAAAAAAGTATTTTCTTGGCAATTTAAAATTCAAAGAAGAAGTGATGTAAGTTTACAAGTACAAACATTGTAAAGTGTGCACCTACATTACCCCCTTCCTAGTGAAAACGATACAGATTTCTCTTTCGATTTGATAGGGGTGATTTCTTGACTTAAATCAATTTCTGAATGTTCAATTTCTGTAAATGCTGGTTTAAGTCGATCAATTGTGATGTTATCTGTCTTGCTTCCGATTTGAAAAGTAAAATATTTTGGAAATCTCTTGATCACTCTGTAAGGCCTATGAAACTTTTGTTCAAGAGGTTTAAGTACACGATCATTCCTTATTCCTGTTTTAATCGAGTTCCCAATAACTTTAATAGATTCCGAAAAGTATTCGATGTGAACTGGCGTCCTCTGTCTGTGTGAACAATATCGGGAGAACCGAAACGAGATACCCAGCCATTTAAGAAACTTTGGGACACAGTTTCAGCTGTAATATTCGGCATTGGTATTGCTTTCATCCACCGGGTAAATCGATCAATGCAGGTAAGAATATAGCGATGACCATCTGATAGAGGAAATGGGCCAACTATATCTAAGTGCACCTCAGCAAAACGTCGCGATGATAATGGAAATGTCCCGATTGAACTTTTTGTATGGCGAGTTATTCTTGATCGTTGACAATCCTGACAAGATTTTGTCCATTGTGCACAATCTCTTTTCATAAAAGGCCAGCAATAACGTTCAGTGACAAGTTTTACGGAAGATCTTGAACCAGGATGAGATAAATTGTGTAAATCGTAAAATACTGATTTTCGCAATTGAACTGGAACATATGGTGTTGGATTATTAGCTTAAGAGACATCACAAAATATCTTCGTATTTGAGGCAGGAATTGTAATGACTTGTAAATTCATTGATGTTTCGGATTTCAACAAATCTTGAAGTTCTTGATCGTTTTTTTGAAGTTTTGAAAGTTCCTCAAAATCCAATAATGATAATGATTCTACACGGGAGAATGTATCTGCCACAATGTTTTCATTACCCTTAATGTACCTTAAATCCGTTGAAAATTGGCCAATAAAATTTAATTGTCGAAGTTGACGAGGACTTGCCTTTTCTGGCTTTTGAGAAAAAGCGTAAATTAGTGGCTTGCGATCAGTTTAGATTGAAAACGAACGCCCTTCTAGGTAGTCCCGAAAATACTTAACAGCTTCATAAATCGCTAATAGTTCTCGATCGTAAGTAGTATAGCGTTGCTGAGTTTTGTTTAGCTTCTTTGTAAAGAAAGATAATGGTTGTAACTCACCATCGATTCTCTGTTCCAAAACAGCTCATAAAGCAAAATCTGATGCATCTACTTTAATGGATAATTCAGCATCACTAACGGGATGAAATAACAACACTGCATTTGATAAGCTTGACTTACATTGCGAAAATGATTTTTCCGCTTCCTTAGTCCAAATAACAGGTCGTTTATCATTTTTCACCACATTCTTGAGAAGTTGGTTTAGTGGGGCTTGTTCTGTCG